GCCATAGCAGCATTTGGGCTCTGATAGGACCCCCCGCCCCGGATGCTAATGGCACCTCAGAATGGCACCCCAATTGGGTTCTTCTTCCTCAAACCTCCTTCTAAGTCCCAGACATCCCAGAATAGGGAGGACAGAACAAAGGGTTGAGAGCACAGGTTTCTGAAATAAGACAGAGGTCAACTCAGACCACCGACTGTGAAGTCGTTTTCCTTCCTGAGCCTCAGAGAATAGTGGGACCTACCCTCCAGGGGCTGTTGTGAGGACTAAATGAAGCCAAACACAGAAAGTGCCTAGTACGGTGCCTGGTACATAGTGAGATCCTAATGAATGATCTCCCAGGAGATAAGGATGAAGAATGAAGGCAGCAACTCTGGATCCCACAGAAGACACTGGGAACAAGAGATACACTTATAGCCTGCCATTCCCAAGGTCAAATGGGAGCATTTTCATAGTTGGCCCAACAGCCTTCTAAGTTCCCAATTTTCTAGCCTGTGAAATGGGTTGGGTGAGTTATATTTTGGAGGTGTGTGTTTGTTTGTTCTGAGTCAGTCTCACTCTGTCACCCAGGCTGGAGTGTGGTGGAATATCAGGGCTTACCACAGTCTCGACCTCCTGGGCTCAGGTGATTCTTCCTCCTCAGCCCCCCAAGTAGCTGGGACTATAGGTGCACACCACCATACCCAGCTAATTTTTTGATTTTTTTTTTTTTGTAGAGACAAGGTCTCACTATGTTGCCTAGACTGGTCTCGAACTCCTGGGCTAAAGCAATTCTCTAGCCTTAGCCTTCCAAAGTGCTGGGATCACAGATGTCATTCATGACACCCAGCCTTTGTTCTTTTTTTTTAGAGGCAGGATCTTGCTCTCTCCCCAGGCTGGAGTGCAGAGGCCCCATCATAGCTCACTGTAGCCTTGACCTTCTGGGCGCAAGCTATCTCCCACCTCAGCCTCCTGAGTAGCTGGGACTACAGGTGCATGCCACCACCCTAGGCTAATTTTTAAAAATTATTTGCAGAGACAGGGTCTTGATGTGGGTTGCACCGACTGATCATGAACCTGAGTACATTTCAAAGGTCTTGCTGGAGCTAATACTCCTTTTGTGTCTGATCCAAAAAGGCAAATTGAGAGTGGGCACCCTCAGATGGGAAGGAGTGGAGGAACCCTAGGGAAGTTTCCCAAATCCAAGCTTCCTCCCCTCATTTATCTGAGCATCTGATCCTGTCAGGATCTACTCTTCTGAGAAGTCCCAGCAGAATGACTGTGATAAAGATAACAGTCATGTTGGGCATAGTGGCTCACACCTATAATCTCAGCACTTTGGAAGGTCAAGGCAGGAGCATCGTTTGAGACCAGGAGTTCAAGACCAGCCTAGGCAAAATAGCAAGACCTCATCTATATATTCAGAAAAAGAAAAAAAGCAAGTTTTTTGGTCAGGAGTGGTGGCTCACGCCTGTAATCCAGCCCTTTGGGAGGCGGAAGCAGGAGAATCACTTGAGCCCAGGAGTTGGAGACGAGCCTGGGCAATATAGGGAGACCTGTCTCTACAGAAAATCAGAAACTTAGCTGGGTGTGGTGGCATGAGCCTGTAGTCCCAGCTACTCGGAGGTTGAGGTGGAAGGATAGCCTGAGCCTAGGAGGTCGAGGCTGTGGTGAGCAGTGATCACGCCACTGCACTCCAGCCCGGGCAACGGAGTGAGACCGACTGAAACAAACAAACAAACAAACAAACACAAAACCCAGTAATAACAACAGCTACTACCCCACTGATCCAGGCAGAATCTGAATGCATTAAGGGCACAGGCTGGGGTCAGACAGATCGAGTTTGGATTCCATCCTAGCGTGACCTCGTGCCTGTGTCTGGTGCCTCAACCCCTTTCCTCGGCAGGGTGGGGACGATGGCTCGGGTGGA